ACACAGTTCTGGTTGTGTTGAGCGGTTTTGCGTCTAGGCCGGGTGCAGCAGATACGCACCCTGCGTTCAAGAGCAAAGCACTAGCAAAGTGTTCAGTAGACCCTGGTTTTCCTCAGTCTGTGTGGATGGCACCTGTGGTGAGGAGCTCAGCACGGAAGGGTGGCGGTGCACGGCTTCCCCAAGGGACGCCTGCAGTCATGCTGATCTGGTGGTAATAAAAGAGAAAGAAAAAAAAAAATCACACTTTGTTTTATTCTCAGTAACATAAGATTTTGACTTTTTCACAGTGGAAAGGAAATTGGTGCCTTAAAACCGCAACAGGATGCAGTTGTGACTTTTTTTGGTGAAATGCAACTGTTGGCAAACAAATACAAGGTGTCTGTTCAGATGAAGTAATGCTTTGGAGTTTCATGTTTGGGTGGTTTTCTTAATACCTCTCTGCTATTCTTTGTTTCAGGGTAATCAACCAAAGAAGTTATGAATATCATCTGTGGTCTAAAGTTGCTGGGCAGGAACTGTATTTTCTCTCATTTGGCTCCTTTGACCAAGCAGGGGAAGTGCAATAATCTCTATAGGTCTTACGTGGGACATTGCCAAGCTCAAGTCAGTTGTGCACGAAATAGATGCCAAAGACTGGATTTGAGTGGAAATACTAGAAACTGTTTTTTGACTGGAAGCCCTGACTCCTATGGAAACTTCATCAGTAAAGGACTGAGGTGTCTTTTCAGGGTCCGAAATACAAAAGTATACAAGAATGCACACCACAGCTCAGGAAGATTTTGCTTCCAGTCATCACCACTACTGGGGGAGAAGATCACACCCCCCCAGATCAGTTCAGCAGAGCAACTCCCATGTTGTTTTTCTGCTTGGAACATTCAGAACATCAGGTCTTTTCACAGATCACCATCATTTCAGGCTGCACCAGTTCCTCTTCTTTGGATTATTGTTAAGCCAGCTCAGAAGTTATTTGCTATCATTCTTGGCAGGTAAAATACTATCTTACTTCCTCTGTCAGTGTAAGACCCCATTACGCAAAAATGTGTGCATGAGTTTGTGGAGAATGGTAGGTGTATTCATAGTGTTTTTGTTTTAATATCTGTGCAAAATTTTGTAGGACTGAGACTTAGACTGACTGTCAGCAAGAAGTTGTTTGCATTATCAGAGGTGTTAGTTGTGTCTTTTGTTCTTCTCATTCTCGTTTACATGTGGTAGAGGGAGATGAACCAAGACACTGAGGGGCATTCCTTCTTCTCTTGTGGGAGGGAAGAAATGGAGTAGAAGCCAATAACAGTATAACCTTCCATAAGCAATTCCATGGGGTGAGACTGTAATAGAGAATGGACCAAGGGCAGACACTAACAAATTCCTTTTAAACTATGTCCTAAGTTAACACTGTTTGTATCTTACAGGAGCATAAGAAATTGGTGGAAGGCACTTCCTCCTAATAAACGGGAACTTTTTAAAGAAAGTGCAAGAAAAAATAAATGGAAGATTCTCCTGGGTGTCAGTAGCTTAGGAGTTTTATTTGTCATGTTTTATTTTACTCACTTGGAGGAGACACCCATCACTGGGCGCGCTCGACTGTTGGTCTTTGGAAAAGAGCATTTTAGGGAACTGTCACAGATGGAATATGATATGGTAAGATTTTAAAGAAAAATTTAAAGTACTCTAGAACTGTTAATACTTTTTTAACAGTTAATGAGATGGGCAAATAAACCTTGTGGTGTCCTTGATAAGTTTTGAACTCCATGGTCGGAACCCTGGAGAACACCTCTGTCAGTTACTCTAGAGTTCTCTTTCCATCAGCAAACCACTCATGGGCACATGATAGTTAAAGAGCACATTACTTGTATGTAGCAAACATTTCTAACTGTGTTATTGTAATATAACAAGAAATGCAGAAGTCTGGTAGAAGCAGTAAAAGCATAGGTAATAGTTATATGCTGAGAGGTGTCTCATTTTCTGTGCTGATTTGAGCATTCTTTGGCACTTGTTTAAGATCCTCTCTTCTAAGCTGTCACATTGTAAGGTAATATTCTCCACCTGTATTCAGTTCTACCTTTTTTTTTTTTTTTTTTAGTTGGATCAGCTCATTTTTCTTTAATTGCTTTCTTTTAAACTGTCCCTTTTACTAATTTTTGTAACTTTGAGTTCTGTGGCTTGCTTTTCTGAAGCCAGTGAAACTTGATAATCGATATAGAAATGTTGCTGTATTCCTGCCTGACGAAGAATGTAAGATAAGAACAGCACAGAAGTAGTACAGGGATATATTCAAATTACATCTTTTGTATAAATTTGTCCACCTTACAAATTACAGCAGAAATATACAGATACAGAAAAATCATAAATTCAGATGGAAATTCAGGACAGTATAGAAAGGTTTGCCAAATAGCGATGCCCAGCTTAATTGTGTATTAGGAAAACACCAGATACAGGAGGCTGTAGGACCATGTTTATCTTCTTTTTTAATCTGTGGTCAGTTTACTTCCTTTTAAGTTTATTAATCCTTAATTTGTGGGTCTGAAAGCCTGAACTCTAATATATTGGCTTAGGCTATATGAAAGAAAAATTTATTAAAACTGAGATTTAACTAAGTTGTGTGTAGCCACTAAATTAGTTTACCAATTAGTCATTTACTGTGTGTTAATTCTGCATGGCAATCAATGAACTTTTTTTCAGTGGATGGAAGAATTCAAAAGTAAAATGTTACCCGAGGCAGATGCCCGCTATCAGGTTGTGGAGAGAGTTGTTGGTCATTTATCTGAAAGCAATAAGGACGTCCCACAGGTCTCGGCACTCAAGTGGGTTATCCACGTGGTAGACGAACCGGGTGTAAATGCTTTTGTGCTACCGGTAAGTTGAACCCAATACCAAAATTATTACTAATATTGAAACAACATTTATGTCTCTTGTACTTAATTTTCACTTTCTTTTTGTTTACAGAATGGTCAAGTGTTTGTTTTCACTGGATTGCTAAATGCAGTTTCTGATATTCATCAGCTGTCTTTCATTTTGGGACATGAAATAGCTCATGCTGTGCTGGAACATGCAGTAAGTATTTAAAGAAAGCTGTCTAAAATTCTTAAATGAATTCTAGTTACTTGAATTAAGATTTTTCCTATCACTACCAACCAAAGTTTCAGTGTGACTTTCTAATGAATGAGAAATTGAGTTTCAAATGAGAGTATTCTGCTACAGTATATTCTTATGTAGTACTTAATAACTGTCAGAAGTAGTCAGTGTTAGCACAACGGCTGCCAATGATTTTTTCATAGCTGTGTACAAATGGGTTGTGGCTCACTATGAACAAATCATTTAGAACTTGGTCTGCAGGTGCCTCTCCTCCTGTAGCGCCGACATAAGGAACTAGAGGTACTCAGCAACTCAGTGTGTTACTCCTATACTTGTTAGTATCTTCAGAAGTGGATATACTTTAATAAATTAGTCTAAAGTACATGATATTTTTATTCTAGTAGCACACAGTTTCAGAATGCCAAATTCTAGAATGCTTGCAGCCTCTTTATACATTTACAGGTGATTGCTTTCACAGACTGAATTTTTCTATATCCTGACATGGATGTGTTGAAATTGGTAGTTCTTTGCCATTTGAACAGAATGGATGTAATGATTTTGTTGTGCTTTGTAGGTACAACTATGAAAAAAGGGGATGGTATAGAAATATGGCTCAGACTGTACTACATTGAGGTGATTTGCTAGAAAGTGCTTCTTTGCCTCCAGATTGATTTCTTTCTGTGCGTGTCATTTGGGAAAATTGTGTTCATTACCTATATGTCAGTTTGGGAAGACCTAATTAGAAGCTTGTAAACATAAAGATCCTGCTAAAATTGCAAAACTAATCTGGAAATGGGTAAATGCATTTTAAAGGTAGTGGAAATACAGAAGAATTGCTTTACGGCATCTTGTATGATTTTGGATGAGCAACAGTTCATATCATAGTTTCTTGGGCTCAGCTGAGCTAACTAACTTGTTAAACTTATTAAGAAGGCACTTCTAGTAATAAAAAGAATTTACCTCGTCTCTATGGAACCTGTGTCACTCAAAAGGCATAGAGAAAAGTATTGTATGATCTGGCTTGTGAGTGCTCAGATCAATTTGTTGCATGTCAAATAGAGCTCTGAAAAACAGAAGAATTTCAATTTCTTTCTTCCGTATCTTGCAGCTTCTGAAATCAAAGGAACTCAACAGAAAATAAATAATAAAAATATTATGCCTAGTGTCCCATTATCTCATTAGTATTCCTATCTAAATGATGTCTATCTCTTCTCAAATTAATGTTAAGAACAGTCTTCTAGGTCCTTTTACAGATTTTTCATTTCAACTGGGGTGTTCCATGGCCATTTTACTAAAGACCTCTGTCTGCATGCTGCTGCCTTCTTATTTCAAGCTTCGAACCTGTCGAATTGGGAGATAGACAAAATGTATTTGTTCCAGCTGAATTTAAGCAGTTGATGTGTATTTCGGACTACAAGTACCTTGTATCCAACTGGATTTTTTTTGTGCTAGCAGGGGAGCTTGTGCTTGCCCTGTTTGTGTGGCTGCATAGAAAAAAAAAAAAAACAAAACTGATTTTTAAAGTGTTTCCAAGTTCTATAGTGTTCTAAAGAAATGTCAGACGGTAAGGAATGAAAACAGGACAATTTCTGTTTGCAGGCAGAGAAAGCCAGCCTGGTTCACTTCTTGGATTTCCTGTCACTCATCTTTCTCACTATGATTTGGGCCATCTGTCCTCGTGATAGTTTGGCAGTTGTTGGCCAGTGGATTCAGAGCAAGTTGCAGGAGGTAAGAGTGACATGTTGTATTATCCTTCCTGAGTTCTGTGGAAAAACATTTTTAGTCTTGGGGAGGCAGTACCACCAAGTAGTATGTTTGGGTGAAAAAGGGAAGAAGAGAAACACTATAAGCAAAAATAATAATATTTGAGTATATTTTTGAATGAAATATGTTTTTATAAATCTGCATCTGCTTTAGTTGATATGTATTTTCATTTGTCATCTTGAAGAACTTTAGATCTCCCTAAATCACTGTATTTAGCTGGGCAGGCTCCGAGTACCTGCTTGCTCACCTTTTAAAGTTGTATATGTTGAAATGCTATGTTTTTGAGTAGTTGTTAAATTGTTTCTAAACCAAATAAAATGTATGAAATTCCTTAAATACATTGGTAGTGGTGAGAGTGGTTTCCAAGATAAGAAAACTGAGAATCTAAACACTCTTTTAGAGTATAAACCATGCTATACTAAAACTTACTGAAATAATCTTTTTAGACAGTATATATTCCAATAAAGTAAAATTCAGAGGCTTTGTGGTGCCAGTTTTCTTCAGCAGTCTAATTTACTCTCTGCCTCTGGACAGTTAGCGATCCATTTCTTTTTTAAAAAATGTTTGTTTTTTTTTTTTTTTAATTTTTGCTTACATCATAAATCTTGAATCTGAATGTAAGTGAAAGAGCTCTTTGATTTCTTTGACTTCTCTTGATGCTTTTCCCGAGATTTCCCCTGGTTCCTCAAAGACATGAAATTAAACATAACCCATCTGTTTTGGTAGTTCTTATGCTAATGGGGTAGATGTGTGGATTCTGAACATAAATTATCTCTAAAGAGCTTGGATGTTTGTACAAGGAGATAAAAAACCAATACATTGATGAATGCTAGCCAGCATTTTGAAGAGCTGAATTTGGAAAAAAACAAAGTGTGAATCAATCCTGAGGCTGCTCATAAGTTAGACAGCAAGATTTAAGTCCCTGTCAGCATCTTTTCTCCTCTTCTAGGCTAACTGCAACTGATACTTTGGCATCGTGGATTGGAGTGGTGCTTTAGATTGCAAACGCAGTCTGGGTTTAAGCTCGTAGTCCTAGTGTGCTATAGGAAAGATCTATCATATATGAGAGATTGTACAGTAGTGTCCTGGTTTAAAACTCTGATCACACTCAACTTCACTCGCATTAAATGTATCCTTATGTAGTGCAGAATGAATAAGCAATTAATACTTGAAAACCTTTTATCCCATGTACAAAATAGGCTGAATAGAAATTTTTGTTTCTGTGCAGTGTCTGTTTGTTTCCTCCATTCAATGTTTGCCAGTTGTGCTTGTGTGAAAATGAATCTTTCTGCACATTTTCTCAGGATGTTTCTTTTCCTCTTCTTCCTTAACTGTATTTTACTTTAAAAGTCTTAGCATCCCACTGTATGAAAGTTATTTGAGCCACAATGCAGTACCTACTTCTGTTTCAGTATTCGTTTTTCTTTCTTGTGCTCAGAGGCTTAACTATTTCACCTGACTGTTTTTTTTTTATTATTGGCTATAAGTAGTTTCCAATGACTCTTTGTAGGCCTTTTGGCATGTTAGCTCCAGTTCTGCTTTTTTCTTGCCTTAAGAAATTGTTAAGTTCTCTTAGTGATTCATTCATGGTTGCTCTTTAGTTGTGTATTTCTGAACTGAGACAGGTTGGCTTTGTTTTTACAGCAGCAGTTATTTTATGTGGGAACTAAAGCCTAGGAATTATTCTTGGAATAGCACAAAACATGACTGAGTTTTACTTGTGTCCCGCACACTAGCACAGATACAGTACTTCGTATTCCCTTTCTTGCCCACCTCACACCATCAGATTTGTATTTCATGTGGAAACTGGTGATTTTGGATAGTCAGCTTTCGAGAACTTCTTTAACACACACAAACAGCTCTGGTAATTGATTTGAAAAATTAAATCTGTCTTCTTTATTATTTCCAATTGCTGACAAGGATTTTAGATCAGAATTAGAAGATCTAATTTTTCATTCCAGCACATTCACAAAATATTATTTTAAAAAATTCCATTTCCAGTAGCAGATGAATATTATTGTATGTTAGATGCCTCAAGACCCTTTTATGTGACTGCTGCTGAGACTTCATTGGCTAGAAGTACACTGGGAAAGAGAGCCCAAACTTTCTCAAGAGATTTAGATTGTCTTATAGTATTAATTCTAGATTTGGAGAAGAAACACCTAGAATTCTCAAAAATTGCAGAGGACACATTTAAGTGTCTTATATGTTAATGAAATTTGCATAATGGTCATAAGGTAACAAATCTGTAACCCTACTTGGCCATAAGCTATATCTAGCATAAGAATTGCTGTGTGGCATCACATCAGAGTCTCTTTGGGCTCAGCTTGTCTGTGACTGGCCAGTAGCAGATACATAGAGGAAAGTAAAGGAAGTAACAGTAGTTACAGGGTGATAGTTTCTTCAGATGCCCTTCCAGCTTCTGCAGTCTGCAGCATGGGTAGATCCTGAACTAGAGATTGCATTAGTATTGTGTTTATTTTTGCAAACGCAGCCATATTTTTGTGGGCAGTATGGAGACAGACATACAAATAAATAGTAATACCTAGTGCTTAACTGTAAATGCAAAAAAAAAAAAAATCTATTTAAGGGGTAAGATTTTAAATGCTGATCTTGTTACCGTCTTCTTGCTGTCCCAGATCTCCCTCTCTGTATGGTCTATTAAGACACATGCATTCAGACCATTAATTTCCTAGTTCTTAAACTTCTGCAAATCTTTTTTGAGATGGATGCTACCCTTTCTTATTTAAAATTGTTGTAAACCTCCCAGAGAAGAAAACTGAAGAAACAGAAAACTGCCTGCTTGTGTAAGCCTCTGTTCCAGTTAGTGCCTTGGGTAGTCCTGTTGCCTGTTACCAGTTTAATTTTGATTTTTGCTGTTTAGTGAATATATACTCTCCAGTAGACCCAGAGCACTTTTCAAGGCAACAGAAATATGTATTCCACTTCAAGTATTGACTTTATCATCATAGGATTTTAAAAATATATTTTTAATTGCAATGGTTAAAGTCTGTAAGGGAAACTAAGAATTTAGAAAGTGACCTCATCTATGCTTACTTATAAAGCAGTGTATTTGGCTTTAAGAAACCTATAGAGGATCAGCTTTGGTTGGCTTTTATTTTTGACCTAGTAAAAACTTATCAGTGCTACTTCAGAAAGAAGCAGAACGCTAGATACCTTTATGTACTTAAGGGATTGGATTGCTCTTGTACTCAAGAACACTTCTTTGTGCTCTTCATTTCTAACTGTTTTGTGGTTTGTTTTTATTTCATGTTGGGGGTTTTATTGTTTTTCTTTTTTTGTTTGGTTGGTTTTTTGTTCTTCTGGAACTTACAAGGAGGGTGTACTTTTATAACCAGATAAAGAGCTGATAAAACCTTTTTCTCTTCACTAACCTTGCACATCCTCGTTCTGTAGCTGATATTTCCTAATCGATGGGTAAAACCAGGATGTTGTGACATGTTCCTTATCTCTGCAGGAGCAGGCTGTTTTAACAAGCCCTGATATACATCTGCTGTAACCTGATACACTAGAGCAAGCCTGCCCAAACCCACAGGAATTACATATGCCAGAAGATCCTGGTATATCTGACTAAATAACCTTTCGAGAAAACTACCAGTCTCTTGGTGTGTGTTAATACAATGTCATACCCTAGAAAAATGGGAGAGGAGCTGGTCAGATTTATGTCTTATAGTTTGATTTCTTGAGGGCAATTTGCAGCTTGTGTTGGGGGGTGATCACGACGAAGAAGTGATTTCTGCATGAAAATGTTTATGGCTACATTCTGTATTGTGGGCTGTTTACCATATAAAATAGATCATGACAGGTTTAAAGACAGTCATAAAAGTTTAAGGGAACCACTGGATTTTTTTGCATGCAGTTGCTGCAACAGAAATCTTAATGCTAATGAAAGAGTGAAGTGAAAAAAAATCTAGTTTAAAGTTGGCATTGACTCTTTAGTTGCTGCAAAATGCTGTGAGACTGGCTGATGAGAGGGCCCATGAAAAGATATATAATTTGAGTCAATTTCCACTAAATACAGGAGCAATGAATTATATATAATGGGATTAAAGATTGCATTAAGAGAATTAATACTGATCACATGCAGTGTGAACATGATAAACAGCATTTCGTATGAGGAGGTTAGAAAAATAGCTACAATGCCCTAGCTTTGTACACATTGAAATCCAAGAACTAGCGCTTTGATCTGCTTCTTTGCAGTTTATGTTTGATAGACCGTACAGCAGAACATTGGAGGCTGAAGCTGATAAAGTGGGACTTCAATTTGCAGCAAAGGTAACTACAACTGGTTTGTTTTATTAGCAATTTATCAGACATTTTTCTGTTTCTAGTGTAATCAGAGGGAGTTTCACACTTCCTACAGAAGTAAACTGTGTGTGGCTAGATAACTGTGAGAGCAGCACCATCTAGTGTTAATATTTCATAAGGAAAATTTCCTTTTCTTATTAATATTTCTTCAAGGAAGAGTTTTTTTAAAATTAACTTTGATTCTGGGATTGAAACTGCTTTTGTTGTTGAAGAGAATAATACAGTCCATGAAAAAAATATAATTACTGTGTGGGTAATACGTAAGATGTAGGGCCATACCAGAAAGAAACAAGCGAAGTGGTTTCTCAACATTCCTCTGCTTGTATA